AGCCGGAAAGTACTTGAGTAACACAAAATCACAAATCATGCCGAATCTAATTCGTATCCATACCGGATATCTTGACCCATCATTTATTAAAACCACTGCAATTTGACTCCCACAATGGTTTTGGAGGACAGTTTCACTAACGTGACGTCTATGTGATGGTGTTAACCTGGTCTTTGTCCCACGTGACGTTGATGTGGCGCTTATGTGAGATTAGAATTGAAAAAAAAATATATGAGACTCATTTATCATTGACAACAAAAATTGTGAAACCCACCGACATGTGGGCCCACATGTTATCCCCTCTCTCCCTTCTCTCTTCCCCTTCGCCTGCCCATCACAACCGGAGAGAGAGGGGATGACATGTGGGCTCCATATGTCGGTGGGTGCCACAATTTTTCTGAATGACAAATGAGTCCTCAATATACCTTTTTTTTAATTCTAATGTCACATAAGCGTCGCGTTAGAGTTAGGATGAAGATCAGGTCAACCCTGTCACATCAATGAAACCAACCTCCAAAATCATAGAGGAGTCAAATTGTATCGGTTTTTATTAGGGGTGGCAATTCCCCCCGCGGTGCCGGTCCCCTGCGGGGACCCGCCCTCGGGTGACATTTTTGCCTCACGGGTGCGCCGGGGCCAGGGCCCCGCATTTGTGCGGGTGAGGGGCCGGGGGGACATTCCACCCACAGGTGACCCGCGGGGCCCCGGGGGGTATATGACCTCTTAAAACATAGCCTATTAGAGGCCCAAACAGTCCATCTCAGTCCAAGTCATATATAACCAGCATTCCTAACCCTAGGTCCCTAGCCAACTCCTCCCAGAAGCCAGCGCCGCACGCCCGCACCTGCGGATCTCGCCGTCCCCTGTCCCCTCCCCTCCGGTTGCCCTCTCCACCGTCCCCTCCCCTCCTTTCCGGCGGCGTGGCGGCGACGCGAATGCACGGCGACGGCATAGCACACAGAAGTTGAAGGCTGATACTCTAAACGGTATTTCTTGATTCCCTAATTAGAACAAAATTTCTGATCTGAGCTTGTGTGTCACATGTGTGAAGTATGTACAATATTTTTCCTTGCTAAATTAACGATCGTCTTGTACGTTCTGTGCTGATTTGATGAAGTTGCTACTCACAGCGGGCCCCGGTCAGGTTGCGGGGCCCCGGGTGCGGGGGCTGATTTGCACCCGCATGTCCACTCGGGGCCGGGTGCAGGTGTAAGGGTCGGGGCTCAGGGGTGGGGCCGTTCCAGCCTAACCTGTCTCCGCCCCGCCCTATTGCCATCCCTAGTTTTTATAGCTGAGGGGTCATGATATCCGCTATTGCGACAACTGTACGGAATAGATTTGGCCACTAGTTAAGGGAGTCACAGTGAACTTATTCCCCTACGCGGGCTTTCAGAACGATCGAGACGCCATGTGCGTCTCAGACGGTCCCGCTTCGGCCTGTTCGCCGAGGCGGCCTCGCTCTCAGACGGCCTAGCGCGCATGTCCCAGGCGCCGAGGCCCGAAGCGCTGCCGCGAACCAACCGCGGGTCCGTGGCTACTAAACTAGGCCCAGTCTCCGTCTATTCAGAGCACCGGCCCAAGCCGCGGTGGACAGGGTGGTGCTCGCGCGCGCCGTCACGCGCGGCGGGGCGTTGCACGATGAGCGAATCGTTTTACCGTTTCGATGAACCTTTCGTGCGCGCGCAACAACGCGACACTCATCTCCGCGGGATCCCCTGCTTCGCCACGACGCCACATCCCGTTCCCCGAAGAAACTGCTCTTCCGTGAGGCTACAAAACATCGCGGCGGGCGAGCGTGTCAGCTGACTCGATGACACTCGGCAAACGCACACTATGCCATTCTACCATCACTACAGAGCCCCTGTGTGTGTGCTTGCTGGGGTGTTGTCGTCGCCTAGCGGGCGGCGTTAATGATGGAGCAGGGGTTGCGAAAGGCCCAGTTACGTGTAATCCACGTAATGGCACTATGACGAGCTGTCCAACTGCGAGCTGCTTCCCGGCACTGTTTGCACGCTCGCACATGGCACAGCTGTAGGATTAGTGGCAACCAGCTGCACACTCACACTCACACTCACCCGTTGATCCTATCCTATCTCGAGAAAACGTCCCCGGCTAAGTTGTTAAGCATGGACCATCACGGTCGTCATATTAAGCATCGCGTCAATGTATTCATCACCAGTTGTTCCAGAGGAAATGACGACCAGTACGCATATAGGCAGAAGCTTCTAATGCCGGATGCTTAACAATGACATGCTAGCTGCTGACCATGTGCCATGTGGTCTTCAGCTAAACGGGTATATATGGGATATACTCGTGTAGACGTATACGTACGCTCGCTTGTATTCTTTGGGCGAAAGGAACGTGACATGCACGGGGCGGCGTGAACAAATGGTGCGGGTAGGCAGTTTTGTCGATTGTCAGTGATTCATCAGGGAGCTTCACATGATGCCTTTCCGATGATTTAACCGGGGGATTAAGCTGCTCTGGGAAAGCCTTGCGCGCGAATGTGGGGTTGATAGTCTCCACATGCTGTTGCTCTAGCTGCCCTTTGATTCGTGTGCCCAGCCCGAATCCGATTTCTGAAATCTTATCATCTTATCCCTGCTCTGCAAGGTAAGGTCAGGAATAATGGGCAATTGGGCATCTCCATGGGAAAAGGTGGAAGAAGAGCAGATCATGCTGGGCAGTGTCACGGTAAATAAATGGTGGCAACATAGATATTACTAGTACTACCAGTACATAATTAACGTGCCAAGAACGAGAGGGAGGAACCAGGACCGGAGTAGCATACATAATTTATGCCCCTTTACATTTAGCAGCCATAGTAGTTCCTAATATTTAGTTTTTACCTTTGTTTTTTCTCCTTTGTGTATTTTGTAACCAAAACTTCTTTTCTTTTAATATATTAACGTGTAAATTTTTTACGTGTTTGTGAAAAAAATAATTAACGTGTATCTGGCATTGACAGGTACTACCACTTGGAGGTTAAATCGCTGGAGGCGAAACGGAAACTAACAAGATTAGCGTGCTGCGTTGTTGCGTCCACGAAACCTGCTACCACAGCAGCCTGAGTCGTCTATCGTGCCAACAGATTTCGGCGATTGGTAACCACTAACCACCCATATGCGACATGGGGCCATGTCGTGTGATCGCTTCTTTTCAGAAACCCTGCTAGGGCGTGGGCTCAGATGATCCATCGAACCTGACTAAAAACCCTATTGAAAGTTGAACGATCTGAACTGTAGCTACCCACTAACTCATGCAGCCTTTTGTTACTCCTTGCCACACCCGTGAAACCGAGCGATGCTTGTCTCTCGCTTCTCTCATTGACCACGCAGCAGTGCACCTACACGTGACCCTGGGCGCGTAATTTTTCACACCCCCACTTGCAGAAACAGACGAGGCGGTTTCACAGGTTCTCTTACCCCATACTCACATCTACGATGTCTAAATACTCCCACTAATACCCACACCCATCGCGGGTATAAAATTATCCCCATACCCACACCCGTGCGGATAACGGGTATCCAACGGATACCCATACACATATAATTGATTTGTAGTATTTATAGTTTTGTACTATAATTAGCCATATTAGAGTTGTAAACCATCAATATTTTCTCTAGCAACAATGCTATTAATATTAGTGTTAAAAGGCGAGTAAAAAAATTATACAACCACATTACATAATTAAGAAATCAAATAATAATTTCATATAGCTAGACTAAGCAATACTTTAAGATGTGAAAGGAGTTTTATGCTATAATTTAGTAGTCGTCGAGAGTTATATTGCTCATAGTTTTAGGCTCAATGAACGGGTTTTTTCTACCCACGGGTTGGTGGGTACGGGTGGGTAAAGAACATACCCATATCCACGTATCTAATGGTTAAGAGTTTTCGCCCGTTAATAGACCCATAGATATAAGAATTAGAACACAATTAGTTTCTAATAGAGTAAAAACTCGTCGGGTCTTGAGTTATGGGTACCCATTGCCATCTCTTGGTGCAACCGGAGCAAAGGTCGAAGCGGCCAATGGCGAGGCGAGGGCGCGAGACCCCGCGAGGCGTCGCCGCTGTAGCAGTTTGACGCTGGCCGCAGCCGCCTGCGTGCGCGTGCTTGTGTCTAGGCGTTTTTGGGGACGGCGCACATGAGGGACGGGGACCCGTGTGTCGCACTGTCTCGTCGAGTCATTGGTCGAATCATGTGTATGCATGTCCTCTTTGCGGCCGTTTTATATTGGGTTCTTCCCTTCCGGTCTTGGCGGCGGGTCGGATAATTAACTCCGTATACTTGATTTAGCTTTGGGCCATGTCGTTCAACTGTTCGAAGTGTATGCCGGTATGCCGCTGACTGAGCACCTGCATCTCCATGTGATCGATCGGTGGTTGGCAGAGCTCGGCATGGCCCGTGGGCGGCCGAGACGATCGGAGATACGTGTTGCCTTTTGCGTTGTTACTGCTATACGCGTACCCCATCCACATCCAGCCGGAGACCGGGAACAAAGGCGTTTTTACAAGGCTTCAGCTACGTCGAAATTAGAAGGGCTGATATCTACTTGAATTTGAATTTGAATTGGTTTGGTTTGTTTCGGTGACCAGCGTCCACGGCTCAAAGCGCTCTCTTGCCTGGCACGGTGGCGCATGCTGCACGGGAGCAATAGCAGGAAGCAGCAGGACAAACGGTCAGGAAAAGCAGAACGCCGCGATTGCTGTACAGCTGGTGCATGGCTGGAAATGTTGTACTACAACGCGCCATACCGGCAGGTGAAAAAGCGAATCGGACGGAGTAAATACGTGCCCGATTAATCCGGAGGTCAGGACAACGCAGCTTGCTGGCTCAACCGCTCACGCACGTCACCTTCGGAGTAACCCAAGTTATGGCGCGTTCCACGTAAAACATCCAAAAACCTCCGCCCCTTTTTCCCGGCTTCCCCCCAAACTGGCAAACGCGTCACATGAGTTTTACCTACCAATGTTTGCATTATTGGGTGTACATTGTGCAATACCGAATTTCTGACGAGTTGAAACAGGACAAGGCAACGGGAAACCCCAAGTAGCTAGGTCCATGCCTCTTCCCCCATCACCAGCAAAGCTTAGCTGTTGGTTACCCACCTTCTCCGTTCCCCATTGCCTGGTTAAGCTGATAAACCTCTCTGGCTCTCAATCTCATCCTTTCGTCTATTCCTTGCAGTCTTGCTCTGATTAGCAGTGTGGGTTTTTTCGCACAGGAGGGCCCTACGCAGCACTAGCACAAAACCAACTCAGCATGTGCAGTGCAACCTAGCGAAAGTGGCTGCACACATCAGATTGGAGTAGGATATATGGAGGAGAGTATCTATCTGTGCGGGAGGCTCCTACCAATAGTGGTACCGCGTATATAACACGACAGCGTGGGTTCTTGGGCAGCGCGACGCCAGGGAGCGCGTAGGGAGAGAAAAGTTCGGTTCTTGAGAAAGAAAGGGGAATATAAGTGAGGAGGCGAGAGCCAGAGATAGAGAGAGAGAGAGAGAGAGAGATCGGAGCAGCTAGCTAGAGCATCAAAAGCGGCCAGCCATGGCGTTGGAGGCCAGGTTCTTTTTGGCGGCCGTGTTCGCCGTCGCCGCGACGTGCTTGTGCTTATCGGCGGTGGCCTCTGCTTTCGCCGTGCCGAGCGTCGCCTTCGACGAAGGGTACTCGCCGCTGTTCGGCGACGACAACCTCGTCCGCTCGTCGGATGATAAGAGCGTCCGCCTCTTGCTCGACCGGCGCTCCGGTGCGTTAATCCCCATCATCTTGCAAAGCTCATCTCTCTCTCCTTCTCGACTGGATTTCGCCTGCATCCCCTGCTCATGTGCACCATTAGTATGAGTCTTCGTGTTCTGTTCGTCATGTTCTTACGGTACTTGCTGTCTGCGTCTATCTGCAGGTTCTGGGTTCATCTCCTCGGATTACTACCTCCACGGCTTCTTCAGCGCGTCCATCAAGTTGCCCAAGGCTTACACGGCCGGCGTCGTCGTTGCCTTCTACGTGAGTGCCTGCCTCTCTCACCACTGCTCCGATCTGAGAACATTCCTTACACTCCTACCCACAAAATCCGCGTTGTTTAGGTTATCTTCCTGCGGTTTGTTTTGAGCCGTTGCTGCTGTTGCCTCCTCACATGGCGTGTCAACCCGGAATTCAGCTAGTACTACAGTAGTAGTACAAACCATAGCAAGTTGCGTACCAGCCCCATGCCCTGGTGGCGCAGGGTAGACAGCAGGGCGAGCCACATGGGCTGTTTGGACTTTCAAGCCCAAAAAGGCTGCGCCGCCTGCACCCGAGAATAAATGTACCCCTCTCATGTCACGCGCACTCAACAGTCAGTCACCAGTTCAACCACCATTGATCACCCCTCACCAAAACGTACTTATACTGAATTAGTCGAGCACGACGCGTACAACAACAGGAGTACTCCTACCAGTTAGTCTCCGTGAATGCACGGGTCACTTAATACAACGCCGTGGTAGATGGAATATTCAACGGTTCCGTAGTTTTTTCTTGCGTTGCAATGCAGGTGTTTGTTCCAACTAACACATTATGGCTTTCGATCGATCCTAACGGTTTTGTTCGTGTACGTCGTCATTTGCAGCTGTCAAACGGGGACGTGTACGAGAAGACGCACGACGAGCTGGACTTCGAGTTCCTGGGCAGCCGTTGGGGCGGCCAGTGGCGTGTGCAGACCAACGCCTACGGCAACGGCAGCACCGCGCGCGGCCGCGAGGAGCGCTACCTCCTCCCCTTCGACCCCACCCTCGAGGCCCATCGCTACTCCGTCCTCTGGGCCCCCACCCACATCATGTACGCGATCTCTCTGCACTATTCAATCTCTGCAAACTGAGCTGAACCGAGCTTTGGGCTTACGGAATGGATGTGCATGCAGATTCTACATCGATGACACACCGATCAGGGAGGTGATCAGGCACCCGGGCATGGGCGGGGATTTCCCGTCGAAGCCGATGGCGGTATACGCGACGATCTGGGACGGTTCGACCTGGGCCACGGACGGCGGCAAGTACAAGGTGAACTACAAGTACGCGCCGTTCGCCTCCGAGTTCTCCGACCTGGCGCTGCTCGGCTGCCGCGCCGACCCGGTGCTCCGCGCCCCGCGCGACGGCGGCGGCGCCGGGTGCGCCGAGCCCGACCTGCTCGGCCTCCTCACGGCCGACTACGCCGTCATGACCCCGCGGAAGCGCGCCGCGATGCGCGCGTTCCGCGCGCGGCACATGACCTACACCGTGTGCTACGACGCGGTGCGGTACGCGGCCGGGCCGTTCCCGGAGTGCGACGTCTCTGACGTGGAGAAGGAGTCCTTCTCGGCGTGGGGCGAGTCCAAGAACGTCGTCATGAAGGCGCGTGGCCGCGGGCGCCGCCGAGGACGCAAGGCCGGCGCCGGAGCCATGTCGCGCCTCGACGTGTCCAGCAGCTGAAGTGTCAACTTGGGAAGCTAATGGCATATGATGGTTACTATTACACTACTAGATTCTATTAATTTTGCGGTATTGATTGATTAATTGTAGTATGGTTTTCCATGTATGTATAGTTTGTAAAGGTAGTAGGTGCTAGGGATTAAGTTCGGTACCAATTTCGACTATTATTCTTTGATTCGTTGGATGGCAGCCAATAATATGATATCACCGGATTATATTACTCAGAAGATTTTGTTCGGCGTAACCCATAAACGCATATCGTCGCCACTCGTCCGTAGTAGGCCATAAGGTATTGATAGCGTGTCGAGAAGCATAATCACGTACGAGATTCGGTGTTAAAAGTGACGGGACAAGGAACGGACCGGACGCCGTGGACAACTGGAGATGCTTGCATTTTCGTCGCCTGTCACGCGGAGTACAGTAACACCTGTGTGTATCCGAGGCAAATACCACCCGGGAAAGGTGGCCCGGCCCATGATCGAAAAACCACTACAGGACGGATAGGATTCGGAGGCATTTAAGAATGCCTCAACTTGCACTAAAAAAAGTGTTGGATATACTGCTGTAGGGAAAAGGATTTTAAGGCACTTTTTCAAAATGCCTTCATAAGTATAGATGAAGGCACTTTTTAAATTGCCTTTACATTTGAGGCACTTTTTAGATTGCCTTTATACACATTTAAGGCATTTGGACTTGTGCCAATAGTTTTTTCCAAGGTATTTTAACATATGCCCCTAATTTATTTTCAAGGCATTTTTGACAATGCCTTTACTTTTCTTTTTAGGCACTTTATTAAAATGCCTCAAATAGTACAATACATGCATATACAGGCTCATCCCACCATATGAATGTTTTAACAGGAAATAACATAACACATCACATATATCTCCAAAAACAATATAGAACAATAATTCCCAATTCCAATTCAATCGCACATTAAGTGGTTCACAAATCATCTCAATGGTAATTAAGTTTGTAAGATATGCTATCACAATCAATGGTATGTTTATGATTTACAAGACAATAAACATCATTGATCTACTGAGTGGCTTGCTCCTGTCATCCTGTGAGGCTCGCATGTATTTGCAATGAGGAAAAACAACCTGAGAATGGATTACACCAAAACCTGTCCATGCATTTGGACCTGCAAAAGAAAAACATGTAAGTTTCTATATCAATTTTCAATATATATATATATAGACACACACACACGCACGCGCGCGCGCGCACACACGCGCGCGCTGCAATATATACATGTTGCATTCAGGTGCCTATCGTATCCATGCTACAAAGTCATGTTAGACATCATCTTGCACATGGCGATTAGAGGGCAAAGTGGCAAATCACAACATGAGAAGAGGTAAACCAACATCTTTTCATCCAACCTTGCAGGGCAAAGTATGGGAATTAATCCCGGCCATAACATAACATCCATTGCCATCAAAATATAAGAACCGGTTTCATAGTAATTCATAACATACCATGCATATTTCCTATTATTACACAAACAAGATTGAGCTCATGAACTATAGTTCTTTAAGAATAAACAGATGCAGCTGCAACACCTACAAAGCATATCACTAGGATTAATATTCATTTGCTAGAATTCCTTTACTCATTAATCACCTAAATATAATGCATTGTCCACATATTATTGCAAAAAGAATTAAGAGATGGAGAGAGGGAGTGAGGGGCAATTTACTTGAGCTAGAACCGGGAAGTTGTTAACAGTTGGCTATTGGTGAAGTTAGCATATGGAGAATCGGGTCTGGCCTTCCCAATCTTCTTTGCCCTAGAATGTGTATCTTCACGTCCTATATTCTTCTTTGGTGTTAGATCATGCACCTCTCTCTTGTGTCCAACAACACTTTGCAGTGCATTATCAATGCTATTGTGCTTGAACACCTCAGTTAGTGCCACCGAATTTCCTTGGTTAGCTGAGTTATGTCTCGCAATAGTCGACACCTTAAATTGAGTGAAAATCATATTTAACATCCAGATTACCACATATAGCAATATCACTCTAATTTTGACTTAAATGTACTAGTAACAATTAGTGAAATATGCAGTACCTTAGAGTGTAGAGCTTGACCACTTGGATGCATTAGCTGCAATGTAATTTTAAAAAATTAGTTGCATGTAAATAAGCTAGACAAATGAAATAATAGCATCATACATTGTCACGTGGCCATGGGATGCATCGAGCTTGAGCACTTCCTAACTTGCTGATCATTCCATATGCACGAGGTATTATGGTGTGCTGATTGAATACAATGTTAACAAGGATGTCAACACAATCATTTAGTGCCTGGCCATCAACAGAAATAGCGTTTTTGTCGGTCTTCTGAATGGTACCTAGAGCAACCATTTTTCCACTTTTTGGAGATATTAGGCCAACTTTCATACCACTTTTCAAGATAGCTTTTGTATCTAATCCAGCCTAAAAGAAGAGATATAGCTTGTGAGTCTTTCTCCTTTTAGCTAGTTCACTAGTAAAATGCAAAAAAAGCATACCTCCAGCCCTTCATGGAGTGGTGTATGAAACTGTCTTTTTCTGTTTTGTAGATTGGGTTCAGATGAAGTTGGTTTCTTTGATTTCTGTTGGACAGCATATGAAGGTGGTATATTCTCCTTATTCAAATCTAGCCGAGGGGATCTAAACTTCTTTTTTGTTGAGGAGGTGATGTCACTTGACCAAAAGGCTACTCATTCAGGAAAATAACATATCAGTAACAATTAGTTGTATCAAATTTTAACTCAAGCACATATATGAGATGCTAAACTGTTGCATACCTCTGACTGTTTATGCAATTCTAGATGAGGAGATCTAAACTTCTGTTTTTGCTGAGGAAGTGATGTCACTTTACTAGACGGCTAGTCATTCAGAAAAAAAAAGATTAGCAACAACTAGTTGAACTAATTTTTAACTCACCACATGTATTAAATGCTAGATTGTTGCATACCTGTGACTGTAGAAGTGTTTTCTTGTTTCTGGATGAAAGTGATGGTGCTTGATTGATGCAATTCATAGGATCCAGTTCCTTGAATTAAAAAAAGATATAAGATTTATCAGGTGCAATTGGTAATTGTCAAAGCTATAAAGGACGATGGGATGGTATAGTAAATAAAAAAGGAACTCACCTCCAACTGATTTTTAGCTGGTGAATTAGACACCTGACTTCTATTCATAGGTGCATGCCCTTGGGAAGCTAGCAACATACTTTTTAATTCCTCATATTGTTTTTCCAGCCTTTCATTCCGTGCCATCATCAAGGTCTGATTTGCTGCTAATGTGTCCACCATATCCAAAGCTCCTTGTTCTCCTGTTTAGTTTCTTCTAGTTGTGCGATAGCTTCAGCTAGGTGCCTTGAAGCCACTCCACCTGCTAGCAGGCCCATGCCACTGTTCTTTCTAGTTTTCTTCCTTGGAAACATTTCTGAATATAGATCATCATCTCGTGCCTCTTCACCGATATGAGCAGGGTTTTCCTCGATCCTTCTTTTAATCCTTTGTTGAAATTAACAACCATACATGGTTATCAATCATGAAGGATACTTGTACAATCAGCAAGCACATATGTAATTTTTTTAAAGCAAAATAGTACACTTGTACAAATACTAGATGAGAAATCAGGAAAAGAGCATACAATTTTATCACTACAGTATTCATCCAAGGGTTCTCCATTTCTTTTGGTATGAGTAATTACATAGAGTTCAGCCCGTCCAACTTTTCTGTTCTCTTTAAGCTCCTGCAATGATATGACAATGCTATAGAATTTGCAGTTGCATAGCTAAAATAATTTGAAAGGCCATACAAGCAATAAAAGTACCGTTTGATCAAGAACAACTGCAAAACCTCGTGAACCAGTGGTGTGAGTTCCATTGAGTTGCAAGGATCTAGTAGCTTTATTCCTCTCTGACTTGATCTATAAGCAAGAAATATAACACATATAAGATTAAAAAATCTAATCAGATATGTTGTTCTATAATTTATTTCAAACATGTACTTATTTTTGGCAAGTATACTTTACCCGAGCTGCTTCAGTCTTCCAATACCTCACCAACCATGCCCATTGTTTTATAGGGATTCTTTCTTGGCAGCCATTAAGTACATTTTGTCTCCATGATAACTCAGAATTGAAGTACATTCTCTTCAAGACAGCTTTAAAATCTTTCCACTTTTTGCTAGCTGATTTCAAAATCCAAGGTTTGTAATGATCCTCAATGTCAAAAATTCCCTGTAATATAGTGTTGTTACCACCACATTACATAGTTGTTTATAATGTAAGTGCAAGTGCAAGATTGTTAAAGCTGAGGCATACCTGAACAGATGTCCAAACTTTCGTCTTGCTTGCTTCAGGTACCTTTCTCCAATTCTTTGCAGCCAAGGATACATATTTGCCTTTGACAAGAGTTCCAATAAAATTGGTTAATTTGCAAGTCTTTAATCCACAAGGTTGACCATATCGATTGAATTTCAATCTGATCTTCTCATTGGGATCAAGGTCCTTCCATAGCGATCTCATCATTGTGGGGCCTCTTCCACTTTTCTTTGTACTTTCTAGCATTTCTTCAAAATAAAATCAGAACTGGACCTTCATGTTCAAAACTAAAATTCATGTCCATTACATGTTAATATGCTCAAAAACTCACCATGAACTTGACCTTCATGCTCCAAGTCAGCATAAGGTGGCAAATTGTCCCCAGGTTCAGTCTCATCATAATCTTCAGAGCTACAGTAATCTTCATAGTCATCTCCCTCATCGGATCCTCCATTGCTTATTATGTCATCTTCAGTTTGAAAGTTGTGTTCATATGTGTATCCATTTGCATCATAAGGCAGATTGCAACTATGTGTTGTAGATTAACAATGCAGCATAAAACAACTTAGGACAGACATTCAGAAGTGCACATATTCAGATTAACCTGCAAATGTGTCATTTTGTTTGGATGCCAATGGCATTGCAGCATGAAAGTTTCTTGATTTAAACTATCATTAAAAACAGCAACAAAGTTCAGTTAGCAATAGAAATGAGAAAACCCAAGGAGAAAGTACAAGTGTTGTGTGATAACCTTTGTTGGTTGGTGATCAAGTTCTCTGAATTGGATAAGGCGAATTCTATAAATTTATCAACCCCGATATTATATTCAGCACTAGATCTAGATGTTTTCATCCAATCCTTATCCATGGTAAATTCAATTAATATTACCTAGTAACATAGATGAAAATACAGATTGCACCATTAGTTTATAATAATACTAAAATATGGGGTTAAATGAATCACTGATAAATAATGCATTAATGCCTATGCAAGCATCTAAACCATCTCCACATCCAGCTCAACACCAAACATCTACTAAACAGTTCAGTTCCATTCACCAACTAATAAAAATCTTTTGGTAAATATAAGAGACCAAAAAAGTATTTTATGAACATTATTTCACTAAGCATAAACAAGCTAGCACAGGACAACCTTGTAAAACACCCTAAAAACACCCAAATTGGGTCAGTGTGACAAATGAGAATATAGTACTATGGGTAGATGTGTATCAGTGCATTTAGACAATACTAGATTTTTTTTTAAATAAATATTCTGATTCATGCATAAATAACTGTTATTCATGGAAAATCATTTTTCTGTGTCAACTTGTTTAGATTCAGATTATTTGCATATAGTGACGTGCTTTTGGTTGAAATTCATCAAGAACAGTGGTTGGTCAGGCTATTGTAGTATATTGGAAGTTGGATTGTTTGATCTACAGGCTGCACTACACCCTTTTGCATGGGAATGATTTCAATCAGCATAATACATAGATCTCAACAACCGCATGTAACCAAAATATTCAGTTTGAGTAATATTCAGATTCTCCAAATATAATACATCCTATAATCATTTATAATACGTCCTATAATTTTCTACAACCATAGATTTATATACAGGAATGATACTTCTGCAATATGGTACTTAGGAAGTTCCATGATTCACAACAGAACAACTGGTAACTCCAATTTTCTAAATTAACTAATACTAATGATATCGAATGGTGATTTCACACTCTAGAGCAGACTAGGATTAAAAAAAATATTTAAAATCTCAAACTGCAGGGTAAAAAAACAATAATAGATCATATATAAGGAGATTCTCCAGTAAAACATTATGTATTCTAGAGCTAATAAGTCAAAATAGATCGATTATCTCATGAAAAATCAAAGTATACATCACATATTTTAGTTCATATACTCACAGTATAAAGGCAGCAACGGTAGATCCCAAGGTGGCTCGGCTCGACCAGGATGAAGAAAGTGGAGGCGCGACTCCGGATCCAGCAGGGAGAGACGGCACCGGGACTGGAGATGGTGCCGGCGGAGGGAGCAGCAAGCGCCCCCCTCCCCCCGACGACTACCCTAGCTTGTTTGAGGCGCAAGTGATCTGCAAGTTTTGGGCATGGAACGGGAGCGAAGCAGGCTGGTGTGTGTAGATCTGGGGAGTAGAGCGGCGGCAGCAGATGGCGGCGGCGGTGGCGGTGGCGGCGGCGGCGCCGCCCGGAGTCGCAAGCGGCGATGGATGATTTTTTTTTTCTAGCGTTTTTTCTTCTCTCACGCGATCTGATCGAGAGGATAAGGTTTCGTATGTGGTGGATGAGCACGTGTGGTGGAAGGACTATTTTATCTAAGTGAAATTCTTTTAGGGTTTTTTTGCATATATAACAGTTTTGGAGGCATTTCTGTTCCAAATGCCTTCGTTTGACCAGGCAATTTTGCAAAACGCCCAGATAGTATGAAATATTACGGCGTTTCATCATAGTGCCGGTGATAGATAATTTTTCTAAGGCGTTACTGAAAAATGCCTTAGAAGCACTGAGTTTTTGAGGCATTCATAATAAAAGTGTCTTCAGATGACAGACTTTTAAAGGCATAAACTAAATTTGCCTTGTAATTAATATTTTTTGAGGCATTTTTATCAAAATTGCCATAAAAGGAGATGATTTGAGGCAGTTTTAGATAAATGCCTTCAACAGAATGCCTTCAAATGCATTCCATCCTGTAGTTTTAGATAAATTTAGCGTTAGAGCCTAAATTTTATCTGGACTCGAATGTAGCCGAGCCCCGTTTGCCCACCCACGCCTTCAACAAGCCAGCCGGTCCGGCCCAAAACATTTATAGGCCGGATGGCCTTTGCTTAGCCCAGCGGCTCCAGCGTACCATCCAAATCTCCACTTCCAGGCGGAATTTGGCTGCCGCGACGAACAGCGCGCGAAACCACGGCAACGGTAGACAAGGATCCCACGAGTCACGGAATCGCACTGTTCCTTCGCAACGAATCGCGTCGCTGATTCTCCCGGTCGACATGAACGTCTCTCGCCGGACGCCGACCGCGGCGTCACCTTTTCCTTTCCCTCTCGTCCCTTCTTTTCCCCTACGCACTTGACCATCCTGTTGCCGGACCTGCCTGTGCCTGGGCCACAGCCTCAGACCAACCAACCAACCAGCGCCTGCCTGTACACGAGCACAGGACGGCAGCAGCAGCACGAGAGGTAGCAGCTGAACAACAGCCACACCCTATACTACTTCTAGGTCATCACCCCCAGAGTGCTCGTTGTCGCGAACTTTTGTGGGTTTAGCTCAAAAGAACGTAGTGCGAAGACGACGACAACAAGCGAGACCGGCCAAGACAACTTTTTGCACGGCGTGTCTCAACCTCCCCAAAGTGGAAAAAAGCACAACGCCACCCACTGTTCACGAGGGGCCTCGAGGAACAATGGATTAGGCTTGGGGAAAGGAAAGAAAAAAAAACCTGTCGAATTATTTTAGGCTTCCGGTCTCCTCTCCTCGAAGAGAAACGAGGAGAGTTAGGTATGGTTGTGAATCTCCCGGTGCATGTAGGGCCTGTTTGGTTGGGTATTTCAACTTACCACACCTCAAGTTAGCACATGTCAAAAGTGTGGCAAACTTAATCCTTGCCATAGTTTTGGCTCAAAAATGTGTGGCAAAGCAGCAAGAAGCTACCTAACTTTCTTTGGCAGGCTAAACTATAAAAGCAAAACAAACAGGGCTAAGTAGTTGTGGCTGACTAAGATGAGGTGCGGCATTCTGTGGCATGGATCCAAACAGCCCCGTAGTACAAATTCCCCACGCCACAGCCTTCTGTAGCGTAGCGTAGCGATCGCCTCTCCATTTTCTGGTACAGACTTGAGATTTCTTCTTCGTTTTCTTCTAGCTTATTTTTTTGTTTGTTCAAGCGACTCAGGAATTGTCGCACGTTAGACTTGGGATTTGGTCAATCATACGCCACACGTGTTCCTATCACCCCCCGTGCTAGCTTCCACTGGAACGAAACGAAGAACTAATACTAATCCCCTGGAGTGATTGATTAGCTGGAAATCCTCCCATGACAATGAGTGAGCTGAATCTTCAGGTGCAACTAGTCCTACTAAGCTTCGACTGCTACTACGTGTCACGACCTTAAAAAAACATGAGTTCACATTTTTGCATCGTCCATTTACATCGGCGTCTTCGCTCGAGCCCTTGAGAGCGATTTTTCTTTTGTTATCCACCCTGCAGTTTTTTTTTTTTTTTTTGCTGATGAGTCGCTTTAGGTGTGTGTGAAGGCAATTATTCCCCGAATCAGTCAGACACATCTATCGTCCAATCAGCCTACGAGAGCTGTGATATCAATTCTCAAGCAGAGACGTCAACGTCAGAGAGAGTCTGGATCCATCCATCGTTTTCCGCACGCACGTTTTTTAAACTGCTAAACGGTGTGTTTTTTTGCAAAAAAAAAATCTATACGAAAGTTGCTAAAAAAATCATATTAATCTATTTTAAAAAAAACAAATATTAAATTAATCACGTGCTAATCGCTGCTCCGTTTTCCATGCCAGGGAGTGAGGTTCAGCCTAACCTTGTTCACTTGCGGCAGCAATTGGGTAGTGCCAATTTGACTGATCGTTTCACTGTTTTCATATCTTGATTGGTTTTACTAAATTTTCTGCATCTTGAGGTTTACAGACCATCGTGCGATTGTTTGTTAGGCTATCAATACGATATAAATTGAACTGGATCAGTTTTTTTTTTCTAAAAAAAGGAATTGAACTGCACTGAATATTTATCCTGGAGTACAGTTGGAAACCGGAGATTTCACAACAATCACCATAGGAACAATTAATAACAAAAATTCGGCACTCCAAAGCTTGAACTCAGCACAAATTGATGTCCCTCGTGCAACGAACTTGTTGGCCTAACATCTACTGAGTCAGAGGGCTTTTAGCTAGGTTAGTTAGATGATGGGAGACTAAAAGTTTTCAGTTCTAAAATTGGTACCTCAGTCCCATATTATAGCTGACCTCCTGTCCTTCATTTTAGTTTAAACCGCATAGCATGATAGCAAGATATCCGTGGGCTATGGCCAAGCCAGCCACATCCCTGTCATACAACACTCTGCAAAGATGAGAGGAATAAGCAAAGGACAGTGAAAAGGATGGTACTCGCAGAGACGACCAAGCAATACTAATATCTCTCAACTAACGATGCCACTGTTAGGGTTCTAGCCTTCTACACCTATGATCTCATGATCAGATCCAACTTGTCATTGTTTTCAGGAACTTTGGTTTCAGAAAGGAAAGGCATGCGTGGCCAAACCAAGAAACCACAGTAGTACGCCGGATCAACAGGTCTTTTAATCATACTAAATCATATGCAAACAAGTTGTTGCAACAGTGCTGCAGGTGACCAGAGAGAGAGAGAGAGAGAGAGAGAGAGAGAGAGGGAGAGGGAGATGTGGATGGAACAAGTGGAAAGTTTCTGCTGATGAATAGAAGCAAAAGTCGTCTATGGAGCTTTTGCTGGGAGTCAGGTGAACAGTGTACTTATTAGGGGATAAAAGGACCATTGCATTACTTGCTACCGTGGCAATGGACGCTATTAAACACCAAAAGCTTCCTTTTGGATTTCTTTTTTCTCACTGGATGCCAGCTCGAGTACACATGCTCAATTAATAAAGCAAAGGGGGAAAAGGAAAACAAAGAACAACACACCAGATGCACAGAAATACCACTAGCTCTCGCAGCTCAATTATTCCCAACCATGTCATCTCCTCTTACTCAACGTATGGAATCTTCCGTGGTTTTATAGGACAAAACCCTACTCCAAGCAACAAAAAAAAAGTCATTACATTTTGGGAGAAAGCTACCCATCGGACGTCCAATACCCATCAAAAAATCGGATGGTCAAATGTTACAGTTGACCAACAAGTAAAACATTAAGTTATATATGGTGAAACAAAAAAATCAGCAACTGAAATATTTAAATATTTTATAAAACATGGTGAAGATACACGTTGAAACATATCGCTGTCACGTATGAAACAAAAAGTATTAACGGATTGAAACATATATTTTTCCTTTATCAAAATATAGTCATGCGATATCTTGTTGTAAAGATTTAATTAAAACAAATACAATGGTGTGATCGGATCATATATTGCATAAGTAATTTAAGAGAAAAATCATTTTGAAACTTAGTAAAATACATGCATGTGTGTATGGATGAGGTGAAGAGAGAGGAGGGAGAGAGTAGTAGCAGGTAGTATCAGGAATTTTGTGAAACACACTGAACACGCACATTGAAACATATCACTATCACGCATGAAACATTTAGTTTTAACGGTTTGAAACACATTTTTTTCTTTTGACATAATATAATCATATGATATATTGTTGTAAAGATTTAATTGCAACGAATACAACGGTGTGATCGGTTCGTAGATCGGATAAGTAATTTAGAAGAAAAAAATATTTAAAGAGGAGGTAAGAACAAAAGGAAACAAATGGGCATGGATGTTACAATGATAGGATCCTATCCATATACCGATTTGCAGTAGATAGCGCTATACCAATTTGCAGTAGATGGCGCGTCCGATATTTCGGTTTTGATCGGACGTAGGATATAAAGCATTTCCCTACATTGTGCCCACCACTCGAATAGTCCAACTATGCGCCAGTACTACTGTACTGACCCCTCTAATCACCGGGAGGAATCGAAGTACTAACTGACCTTCAGGATTATAAAGCTAACTCGTACATTTTTTGTCGTGCCAAAGGCACAATCAATCGTGTAATTATAGGATCTGAGTAGAACTCGACCTGTTACATCAAAAGACAGAAAGCTAGTGCTCTGTGATTCACGTGGGACTAAAAACTCCATCAAGTCAAACTCTCTTCTTTAGATAAACTGTTAATTTACAAACGAGTTGCTGCTTTCTTTGAACGGAGACGTGGCCAATCTGGCAATGCAGCAGGAGGGAATCCCCAGAGTTGTTGCCAAAATCCGGCGGCAGCCAATGATGCTCCGTGCCGACAAGCCGGTTTTCGTCCAGGATCGCGATGCTAGCTTGCTCGCGATCGGCTGAATGGTTCTTCGACAACTTTTGTGCGTAAAGCATCCCCCCGGCCCCGGGTGGTCTCGCGTCGCACACAACATGCTTGGGATACCAACATGTGGGAAAGAAGGACAACGTGCTCGGGGGGTGGTAATACGAGATGCTTCGCTTTCTCTTTCGACGTGTCGTTGTCGCGCCGCCTTCGCGCACCAAACTCAACAAGTTCAGTCGCCGTTGCTGTGGGAGGGATGGCTAGGCTAGAATGCGGCGGGTGCTATGCTTGCCTAAAAGAATGAAAAGAAGGGGTGATGTGTTGTGTAGGATTTGCATGTTGCATCTGCCTACTGCAATGCTTATGCCCAATTTTAGCTCCGCCCTAAGCAAGTAGTAAGTGTTTGATGCTGTTGCACATAGTTCTAGAACATTCCAATAAGGGAGCTTATGTTCTCATATAGAAGTACAGCACAAGAAACAAATATGGGTCTGTTCTGTTGCAAGAGCTGTAGCAGCATTGTAGCCTGTCGGAACAATGAAGCAAGCACAAAAAAGAAAGAAAGAAATATAAGCATTTTTAATATTCGACACAGTTTTTGAGATACTACTTTGATTAACAATATCTATAAAGGTAAAATATTTTAAATTAAAAAAGTTGCATATTATAATAGTTTGTTTGATGATAAATCTAGTAACATCAATTTTACATGATTGAGCTTTTTTATTTTTTTATTAATAGTCAAAGTTTCAAATGTTTGACTTGACACTATGCTAACCGTGTTTATATTTTAGGATAGAGGGGGTGCTACAAAATCTATAGTTTTTGAAAGGAATTGAGGAATTCCATAGTGTTCGAAAATCTTCAGTCATATAATTCAAACGAGGAATTTAGTCCTCTTTTAAATGCAGGAATCTTATATCCTATATAAAATCACCGGTCTCTAAACTTGTACCGCTGTGTCATCCCGGTTCCTAAACTCGCAAATTGACCGTTTAGGTTCTCAAACTTGTTCGACTGTGTCATCCCGGTCTCTAAATTTACAGATCACTCGTTTAGATCCTCCAACTTGTTCAGTTGTGTCACCCCGGTCCTAAACAGGATGGTCTAAAAACTTTATATCAAAAAATAATTCATAATTTTTTTATGTGAACTCTAATGATGACAAACTTTATATTAAAATTGTAGCTCTCGACGCGACCTACAACTTTGTGGTTGAAAAGTTTTTGAAGTAAAACTGTTTAGGGTCCCAAAATATTGTTGCATATTTATAGATTTTGAAATTTTAATTTTAAAATTACATTTTGGGATAAAAAAATGACTTAAAATAAAAAAAAATCAACTACAAAGTTGTAGATCGCGTCGAGAGCTACAAGTTTGATATAAAGTTTATCTTCATTAGAGTTCACATGAAAAATTTATGAATTATTTTTAAATATAAAGTCTTTTAGACCGTCCTATTTGACCCAGATGATATTCAAATCCAATTTTTGGTACCGGGTGACATAACTGAACAAGTTGGAGGAACTAAACGAGTAATCTGCAAGTTTAGAGACCGGAATGACACAGTCAAACAAGTTTAAGGACCTGAACGGTCGATTTGCGAGTTTAGAGACCGGTATGACACAGCGGTACAAGTTTAGAGACCGGTGATGAACTTTACTCAAAAAATATATAGAAATTTCCGCAAAATTTGGGTTTTAATTCTGGCCGAGTTTAGTTCCAAAATTTTTCTTCAAATTTTCAACTTTTCTATCACATCAAAACTTTTTCACACACATAAACTTCCTACTTTTTCATGACATCGTTTCAATTTTAACAAAAATTTCAATTTTAGCTTGGACTAAACACATCATCTATCGAAAAAGTTGTTCGGGGGGGGGGGGGGGTATCAACGGAGTGCTCGCCACGCGTACAGCGTGCTTCCCCCACAGTTTCCGAAGCCGGTTTCGAACTTCCGATAACTCGGAACAGTACAGGGGGCCGACCGATTCTTTTTCTGATTTTGGCGACGCAAAATCTGGCTAGCATCTGATGTGAGGTTTGCTTTGTGGGCCCACTTGTCTGAACATAAAGTGATGGGGGACCTTGGTGTTTGTAACTAACCTTTCCGTGCCCTCCATACGTGTTCCCGTTCCCAAACTACCCCATCACACCAAAGGTCCTACTCCGTACAAAGTGGAGTACTACGTACTCTTTATTCGGAAAACTGTTCCACTAATAATCAATCTTAAACCAAATTAACCACAAATATTGTACTACCGGTGCAGTTTGTTTATAAACTAGTGGTAACAAATTTATGCTAGATTTACATAAAACCAGTGGTTAAAAATAGACTGTAATGCCGATTAATCTGACATGGGCAGATGGGCTGTGCTAGTATTGACCAAGCAACAGGGGTAGAACCGTAATTGCACACTCTAGGAAGAGACGGTCCCGTGACGACGGCCTGCAACCACAACCACCACCACCTCATCTACCAGAAGGAAAAAAAAAAAACAAAAACAAACCCAACACGCGCTAATCCAAATCTCCTAACCCACAAAATACCAGTGATTAGCACAAAGCGCCATCCAGCATTACAGCCTCGGGGGTGGTAGTTATGGCGTATTAATATCACCCGCACTTTTTTTCCCTCCCCCTCCTCCTTTCCTCGCCTCGCCTCGTCTCGCCGCTTGAGCCCTCCTCCTCCTCCTCATCGACCCGGCTCCTGCTCCGCTCGCCGGAGCGCCGTTGCGGGCGCGTTTCCTCCGCCCGCTCCGCCCGCAGCGCGCTCCTCCGCGCCTGCCGCCTGCCGCGGTAGGAACCGGGGCACCTCTCTCTCGGCGTTGCGGCGGGCGATTCGGAGCGGTGGCGTCGGCCTCGGATCCGGCGGTGGGGATCCGGCGGGAGGCTCGGGAGGGGAATGTGGGTCCCCGTTTGAGGCGGTTTCGGTCTGGGAGGCTGCGGCGAGATGATACGGTGAGTGATCTGCGGGTTGTGGATGGTGAATCGGGAATTGGGGGCCGGGTGTGTGGGTGGTTGGCTTGTTTCAGGGGCTCAGGTTCTGAAATGTTTGGTGTTTTTTTTTTTTGGGTGGGGGGGGGGGAATTACCAGCAATAGGTGGATTTGACGAACAGTTTGATTCGTTGTAATAGGATTTTTGCGCTCGTTCTGCCCCTCTGTTGAGGTTGTTTTCTCTCGGTTTTAGGCGGCTCGGATTGCTTTGTTTCTGTCGAATTGGGAGTGCCGATGCTACAAGAATTCCTTCTTGTTGTTCCGACGGATTACAGTGCAAATCCATTCGTATTGTTACTGTTTTTGCACCGAATTGTGGCTATTCTAACTGTTTGATTAACTGAGATGGAGTTGCTGGTGGTTCTAGAAGGTAATTTCGCAATTCTCCGCGCGCTCTGAGTTCAGGTGTTTTTTGACCAGTTCAATTCAGGGTATTAATTTGGTTTTCGCGTGATTCTCCTGGTGCCTGTATTTTTAACTTTTGGGGAGAATAGTGTCTTAATTTGAGTACAGTGGGTTAATTCGACTGACATGTCTTTTTTGGGGAATTCGGGCTGTATTTAGTGTCTGAACTGTGCTTAATATGGTAGAAATTTCATGCTAGCTCTCGAGCCTGAGATATTTCTAAATTCAACTGTTTGGTAGATTTGACCGAAATTTTTCTGGAGGGAAATAGATTTGGCCACCTGTGCATGCTATATTTGCTCATGTCTTTGTTGTGGTTTCCTGCTATACTACGTGAATTTGTGGGTTCCTGCTATACTATGTACGTGAATTTGTGGGGTATAACTCTAGGTGCTAAATTTGGCCTCCTTACATGAACTGATCCGGAGGGAGTTGGAAAGGAATTTTGACCTGTATGAATTGATTTGACCCAATTATGGTGTTTTGTGATTGAGATGGTACGTAGCTGTTGGGTTCCCCCGAATAGGATCAACAGGAGTGTGTGACTTGTTAGCATCCTACTCCATGTATTTAGGGGGATTGGTACCTTACTGGCTACAGTGGTTTTCATGGTGTGAACAATCCCAGTAATTGCTCACCTTTTGTAGAATTCGGTGTGGCATTTATGTATATAGACCGCCGTGGAAAAGGAGCAGTGCAATATTCCATTTACACGAGTTCACATGAGATGAACCTTTTAACCCTGTCCATTTCACTTTAGTTAGGCATATTCATTTCAGTAGGCCACCTCTAGCTATATTTTAGTAATATGAATATAAGTGCATTAATCAGGAGGATAATCACTTAGTTATTTTTCTTTGTATGCAGTTCGAGTGGATGCCCATTTTGTTGAGGTGGAGATACAAAGCATGGGTACCTTCAGCTAGTGAGCTCAGGTGGTGTAGATCAAGGTACTGATGTCTGCAGGAGAATGGCGGGGAATGATGAAGTTGCCCTGAAACCTGTTTCATGCGGGGCAAGATTACGGAGGAGTTGTGATGCATCATTGAGGTTTGGAGGGTCCATGAGAGACCCTTTTTTGAAGCACAAAGTGAAGAAGTTTGATCTATCTAGCCTAGATTGGATTGATGAGATTCCGGAATGTCCTGTGTTTTCTCCATCAATAGAGGAGTTTGAGGATCCACTTGTTTATCTCAATAAAATTGCCCCTATCGCTGCAAAATATGGTACAGTTTCTTCTTTTTGTTCTTTCGCGATATTTTTCTCAGTTGCAAGGTCAATGGTGAAGCAGTGATTTTAGTCAGGGCATTGATAATTTGGCAAAGGTGGTACTATGATTTTTTGAAATCAAGGTATTGGCAAACACGAAAGCCTCTTCAATTGCAAGTCACAAGTGCAATATAGTACAGTTAATTACTGAGTTTTGTGTGACCTCCTGGAAATAGATGAGCCACGCATGGAAAACTGCATTGCCTAAGAAAATCTTTTTGTCAGTGGTGGAAGTCTCTAGCCTAGATTTTTTCACTTATTTATTGTCTTCACTCAGGTTTCTGTGGTTATTATATTGCTGAGACTATTTAAATTTACCAGGTATATGTAAGATTGTTTCACCTCTCTGCGCTTCTGTACCTATTGGGCCTGTACTTATGAAGGAACAAGGTGGACTTAAATTTACTACCAGGGTGCAACCTCTCCGCCTTGCTGAATGGTCCAAGGATGACAAGTTTGCTTTCTTCATGAGTGGAAGGTCTGTTAGTCTATTATTACTGCATTGCTGTTTAATAAGTGTTTTTATTTATATTTGGATGTCATGTGAATATGTATCATCAGAAAGTATACATTTCGAGATTTCGAGAAGATGGCGAATAAAGAATTTGTTCGAAGATACTCAAGTGCTGCTTGTCTTCCACCAAGATATATGGAAGAAGAATTCTGGCATGAAATAGCCTTTGGCAAGATGCAGTCTGTTGAGTATGCATGTGATATTGATGGTAGTGCATTCTCTTCTTCTCCTAATGATCAACTGGGCACAAGCAAATGGAACTTGAAGGTATTTCCTTGTTTCCTTTTACAAGGCCTATATTTTTTTTCTCTATTTGCAAAATACAAGAGTTGCAAGTGAATATATTGACTCTTTTGCCTGTTTTCCCACAATTATTACATAATCTCTCCTGCATTTATAAGAAGAATCTCACTAACCATCTCCTTGCCTATTTCCAAGGTGCTCCCTCCTTCCCAAAACATATGAGTGTTTTCGATGAATTAAGGATTTTGGTGAAAGGTTTAAATGGCTCACTAATACATGGTGGGGTGATGGCCATTAATAATAGTATTGGGTTGGGTGTGGGATGGTGGGGTCCACTATGGGTAAAATTCACCTTTTACATGTCCTAGGTAGCTATATTCGGGACAATATTTGAACTAAAGGTAATATTTTTGGACGGAGGGGGTATTTAAGTATGGGTAGCATGGTCATTTTAACAATTTAACTCATGTACTCTTAGGTTTGAACCTTCCTTAATCATTGTGCCCACTCAAAATAAGCCTTATATTTTGAAATGGAGGGAGTAGTTCTTTTGTTTACCAGTTTGGGAGACATATTTGAGTAATGAAACGACTGCACTCTGTGCTTCCCAAGTTCTGTGCTATTTTTCTGCGTGGCAGCATTTGGCATGAGCGTTCACATAACCAACTGCACACTTGCAATATCCTCACTCTTGCAATTAAATCTTACCCAAGTATAAGTGTCCATATCCTGCTATGGTAATTTGCATCATTAGAGGATCTTATCTATCACATTTGCTATATTGAACTATTGGCATGTTAAAAAGTTAATTCTTGCTTTGATCCAGAGACTTTCTCGGTTGCCGAAATCAACACTGCGTCTCCTCAGAGCAGCAATTCCAGTAAGTGGACTGTATTGATGATTTCCCATTATTTTTTATACCTTTATTTATCTTCTGTGTTTTTTTAGGGAATAACGGATCCAATGCTGTATATTGGGATGCTCTTTAGTATGTTTGCATGGCACGTGGAAGATCATTACTTATACAGGTGCATGATTAATATTTGCATCATATTTCTGCGGGAATGGATTTTAATCCCTTGAGGGGATGTTCCCTCATACACCTTTTTCTCTCAAATTCAATGCAAATGGTTGTGAAAAAAATCTAGAAAAATTTGACAAATGTAGAGCATAGTGACATCTATCATTCCACCAAAAAATCAAGTTAAAACTCAATCTACACATTGAGAAACAAAAATGACAAATTCAGGTGTGAATAGTGCCAATACTGTTCATACGCTGGATTTTCTTTTTAAATATCGATGTGTGAGTTGCGTTTAGACCTAAGATTTTGTGGAATAGTGTATATAGATATATATTGTATGAATGTTGTCATTTTTTTTTTGAGATTTTTCCATAACTATTTGGATGGTGTTTGAACAAATGAGGGACATACCCTTGAGGGGCTAAAAGAGTTTCCCATATTTCTGCTACCTATTCTTTTCGCAGTGCTGCACATTAAATTGAAATTTTCTATTTGTTATAATGTGAGTAAATGTTTTGCCAGCATTAACTATCATCACTGTGGGGCTTCAAAAACGTGGTATGGCATTCCAGGCAAAGCTGCTCCGGATTTTGAGAAAGTGGTATGTGAGCATGTGTACGATCATGAAATTTTATCAGGTGAAGGGGAAAATGCAGCATTTGATGTCATTTTGGGAAAGACTACAATGTTTCCTCCAAATATTCTGTTGCGTCATCATGTTCCTGTCTACAGAGCTATACAGAAACCTGGAGAGTTTGTTATTACGTTTCCCCGAGCTTATCATTCAGGTTTCAGCCATGGTGAGGTTTCGTTACATCTACAATTCTAAATGCTGTCAGTGATATCTTTATTTAACTGTTGGATATCTCAATATTATATTTCATTTAATGAACATTGTAAAATGCAAAAACAACTACCAGGTTTTAATTGTGGCGAGGCAGTGAATTTCGCTATTGGAGAATGGTTTCCTCTGGGAGCACTTGCTAGTCAACGTTATGCACTTTTAAAGAGGACACCATTACTACCTTACGAGGAACTTCTTTGTAAAGAGGCGGCACTTCTTGATCATGAATTTTCTACCTGTGATTATAAAGATACAACAACATTAGCTGGAGAAACACACAGTCAACGCTGTATGAAAGTTCCTTTTGTTCAGTTGATGAGGGTCCAACATCGTATCCGTTGGTCCCTTATGAAAATGGGTGCTCGCACGCATTATAAAGCAGATATTGATGCCACAGTTCTGTGTGGAATATGTAGACGCGACTGCTACGTAGCCCACATTATGTGTAACTGCAGAATTGATGCGATTTGCCTTTGCCATGGTAAGATTGTAGTAACACCAAGTGTTGATATTGGCTTTATTTGAGTTCATCATTTTTACTTGTTTACCTTGTTTTGAAGAGGAAGAGATTAGGAGATGCCCTTGCAGTTGTGATCGTGTTGTATTTGTGAGGAAAGACATATTTGAACTGGAGACATTATCAAAGAAGTTCGAGGAGGAAAGTGGAATACTGGATGCAGTCAAAAAGCAAATGGCTCGACGTGATGGCGCTAGTCAGCATTCTAACTTTTTCGATTGTACTGATCATGAAGCTGAGTACTACCCATACTGCAATATTCACATAGATCCATCCCCAGAAATATATAGCATTTCAGAGACAAATTTTGTTGGGTATGACTTGAACAATCCACATCCTGCTGCATCAACAGTAACATTTTCTTTTGTACCCCATGAGTATTCTACACAAAGTGATGTAAGTCTCATTCCTGTGCTTATTCTAATGTTTATTTACTGTTTTTAGCAACTAAAAAGAAACTGATATTATTTTTATATGTGCAGGAGTGTACAAGTTCTAACAGAAGAGCCTTGTCTAGCTCTTGTCTCGAGAATACAATTACCCCTGAAAATGCAATTAGTAATGCTTGCCAGTTATCTACTCCTGATCAAACATGTCTGTCTGACAAATTGGCTGCACATGATACTGATGATTCTGACTGTGAGATATTTAGAGTAAAGAGAAGATCTGGCCTAACTCCTGAGAAAAGACACATGGAAGATGGAACAACAAATTTCACTGGGAATCAGGTACAGATATTTCTGTGGGTGCTTCTCATAAGATGATTAAAAATGCTTACTCTCCTAAAAGTAGATGTGGTATAGTATGTTTGCAGTTAGTGTGTACTTGCGAAAATTCAACAGTCTATACTAACGTTTCATGTCTCTTTACCTTCTCCAAAGAAATACAAATGTGACTGAAGTGCTGAACTTCATTCCAGAAAGTGCTTAGAAATTGGTTACTTAATCTTACAAACTAGATCAAGGTGAATTCGCAGGGGGCATGATTGAGGTGAACTGAAAAGTGCTTACAAGATGCTTCTGATAGACACCTTCTTGTTCCTTGTGGCAGGTATTGAAACGGCTGAAGAAAATTAATGCACATGACAGACAAGAACATAAGTTACCTGAACTATCCTGTGGTGCAAGGAGTGAACCTGTCCATACTGATGATTGTATACATTGTGTTGACTTCATTTCTGAAAATGGAGACGACTTCATAGCTCCAACCAAATTGAAGATGATACATCAACTAGATGCAAATATTGTTGAGGATGAAGTTGCTTCCAGCCAGAAATATAATAGTTGCAACTACCAATCTCCATCTATAGAGCTTGGGCCAAAACGCTTGAAAATTCGTGGCCCATCTTTTCCCAGCAGGATTTCTGAGCTGGAGGTATCTTGTAGATTCCAGGACAATGACTTGGGCAGCCAGCATGCTCGATGACGACTGCTAGGCCATTGGTTCTAACACTACGTAAGTTAACAAACAGCATCCCTAACTTCTGGAAGCTGAAAGCTCCTACCAGCCAAGGTTTCCAAATTGTTGGTTGGTCAGCTGGTAACAGATGGCTCAGATTTAATTCTTCTGCGGGCCTCCAATAGAGGCATTGACATGGGTTCATGGCTGGATTCTTGATTTTATTGCTGGGCCACATTTGTGGTAGGGGGCTGAAAGCAGTAGGCAGACAATTCTGATGTTTTTCCACTGTACATCTTCACATACATCTCCTTTCACCTTTCTCGTAGGTTTTTCACTGTGAAGAGGTTAGTCTACTACCTTACCAATTTCTTTCATTCTTTTTGCACACATACACATGTACCTAGAATGCTTAATCAGATGCAAATATGAAATTGATACTGTAGATCCCATATTGAGTCAGTTATTCAACTTTCTACTGGTCTTTGATCTCTTCATGTAATCTCAAATGATCAAATTTTCTTTTGTCATTATTGGTACCGGTACATTTGTCTCCAGATGTGTTGATAACTTGATTTGTTAATAAATCGATTGATGCTGACAGGAAATCACTAGCACTGATTGTCATGTTGCATATGCAACAAAGTAGATGCTTTGTGATAATGTATAATGAAGAAGCCCATGTAAATGCTCGAATCAATCATATTCTATTGAAAGTGGGTGTAACAGAAGGAATAAAGGAGCTAATTCAGTGAGGAAATCAAAATCTGCACCTAATTGCATATTCCCATATGTTGGTCACGTTCATTACTTCATTTTTCCAACTAGAAAAAAATTCAGCTCCTAGTTGTTTGATCTTGATATACTAAAAATCTACAGTTAGCTGGAGATTAACCAAAAGGTTGAGATGAACAGGTCGAAAATTTACTTAGAAATAATACAAATCTGAATTATCCATTGTTTGTAGTGACATATTATACGTTACGATATGTATGAAAGGCCATCTTTAAGGTGGTAACCAACAACTATTTATTCCGTAAATAGCTTCGATTTGTGGAATGAATCTAATGCTAATTCCCAGCAAGACTTCAGGTACTCCAGGGAGAACGACTTGCATGTCTTTTCTATATGATGCTTTGACAAAATTCTGCAAATTAGGCATAGGCCCTGTTTAGATTCCAACTTTTTTTCTTTAAACTTCTAACTTTTCCGTCACATCGATCTTTCCTACACACATAAACTTCTAACTTTTCTGTCACATCATTCCAATTTTATTCAAACTTCCAATTTTAACGTGGAACTAAATACAGCCATAGTAATAAATTACTATGTTGTCATGATGGGACAAGCACACTAGCCCGTCGCACGATTATTTGCTTTCACTTACCCATCTCACCATCATGTTGCTCCACCTGCTGAGTTACTAAAGCCACGAGGACTTATAGGAGCCATTAACTTGACAGTTTGGTATGATTTTGCACGACTATTATGGCTTTACGTCGGTAAAGCGGCTATTCCTTCATGGAAAGCTCATGATGGGTTCATGAGGAAAGATTTGATATCTTTTCTAACTTTGCCTATTCTCTTTTCATTCTTTTGTTGGATGTTCTCAAAAATACATGTCATCAAATCATCTCATGTCTTTAAAGAAGTTAAAAAAGAAGGATTCTCTTTGCTGCCACTCTTTGGTGTCCCTGATGATTAACTGCTGAGTGCTGACTGAAGCTTTGTCAAGACCAAAGAAACACTTGTGCCTGCCCGTCCTCTTTTCTATTCTGCCATCATGTCAACGTCATCCCAGTGATAAAGATCCAATTTCTTGATTTGCAAGGGCTCGGCATTAAGGCGAAGATATGCATCATATAAAATGTAAGTGCGCCCAAAATGCCTTCAGATTCATTTTACCTAGCTTCTTGTTTATGAATATTGTTCAAAGATAAATGTTCTTTGTCTTAATTAGGAAAAGACTGTGGGTTCCAATGTGTATTCTAATTGAAGAATGATCTTAAAAGAATCCTGCAATTACATAATATTTGCATACCTTTAAAAAAAATAATGTTTGTTTATCGGAAATTGCTGTATCCAACTAACTTGGTTGAAAATCCGTTCCAAATGATTCTTTTCCGCAGTTCATTACTTGATTCCATGGTCATTGTCTAAAATGTCTCGAGACTTTAAGGACAGAGCATACAACCCACACTTCTATCATTTTCTTATTGTCCAACATGCTAGTAACTAGTACGCCTTCCGTCCATAAAAAAAAATCTAATCCTAACAACGAATTTGGACACATACTTGTTCAGATTTGTAGCTATAGAATTTGCCTCTTTTTGTTAGATTAGTAGTACTCCTCCGTCTAAAAAAAATAACCTATGAGGAGATGTGACCTCTCTAAGTATAACGAATATCTCACATCTCCTTTGAGGTTTTTTTTGGACGGAGGGAGTAACTGATTAGGCATGTCTACACGGTTTTCTTCATGTATTAGCCTACTTCCTCCGTCCTAAAAAAAGGCAAACCCTGACTTTCTGTGTCCAACTTTGACTGTCCGTTTTATATGAATTTTTTTATAATTCTTATTTTCATTGTTGTTAGATGATAAAACATGATTAATATTTTATGCGTGACTTGTCTTTTTAATTTTTTTTATAATTTTTTCAAATAAGACGAACGGTTAAACGTTGGACATGAAAACCAGGGTTTGTCTTTTTTTTTTTTGGGACGGAGGGAGTACGTCTGATCAAGTGACTAGCATGCTGCTATGATTAAATTGGGCGAGCCTGTCGAGTCAAATCTTGTTCCTGCAGCTTCCACCTTCCCCTTGCATCTTGCATATGTACATCAGCTCATATGAAGTGCATGGCAGAATAGCTGGGCTGCCAACATGGGGTCACCATAGGCCCATGGCTGTGCCATGCAAGTAATGGACACTGGTGCGTACCTTTGCGAATAATTGCATGCCCTCTGCCTCTGCCTGGCCATGAATGGCTATCAAAATCCTCAACAAGATGTGACCACACTCTGAACGGGGACAAACCATTAAAGTCCACAAAGTTCAAGGACTTATATCTTGAACTACATGCTCACAACTCGGAAGTACTATGGATCAAATCCATATGTGCAGTTGTGCACTTGACGCTTCAAGTAATACATCCCCCTTTTTTATTATAGATATTCCAAGTTGGACTATCAGTATGTTTGAAACTACTATCATCATTCAATTTTGACTATCAACTTTTCTATAATGTTGATTTCAATCTGTAAAAGTCGCCATGGATATAACTGACCATAAAGACGACTATGGAAAATCAATCCTGCTTTATCAATAGACAAGGCAAATTTCTTGTCTTTTCCAAAAAAAAAAGACTATGGAAATTAAATAACATAGACACAGAAAATATTAATAAACTCTTTGGTCGCAAAGTGTTTGTAGTTAGTCTTCGACTATAAATATCTTTCTAAATATTTAGATTAGATGCATGAAAACCATACAGATAGTTCCATAATATGATCTTATAAATATCACAACTAATTAAAATTAACGTTGAAGGTTGCATTTAATCAGAAAGACCATTTTATGCCAAAAAGGCATTGCTTGTTGTATCACAGATTAATACTCTCGTATGATGAGGACATATCTAGTGAAAACGAGCTAAGTGTTGGAAACTCGTGAAAATCATACTTAAAAGTTTTTAAAATTTATGAAAAAAAACTAGAGATATGCAATACATTCTCACCAAATCTCAACTCCAAACTCAACTTCGTTTAAGAGAAACAAAAAAGACAAATTTCAGGTGAATAGTTTGTCTTTTTTTAACTCCTAAATGAAGTTGAGTTTCAACTTGAGATTTGGTGAGAATATATTTCATATCTACACATATCTCTAGTATTTTTTTATAAATTTACAAAACTTTTAGGTATGATTTTAAGAAGTTTTTAATACTTAACTCGTTTTCACCGGATATGTCCCCTCATATGATTCCTGGACTTGAAGTTTTAACCTGTTACTGTTAGTCTGCTACTGTAGGTACTGCTGAACTAGGGGAGGATCCTTCTAAATAGTAGAAGTTCACATGGCTTGTGTCTGGAGTAGTCTGAAACTGCAAAGTCGAGTAGCATGAAAAAACCTTCTCTTTGAACTGATATAATTTACTTCATGCAGCTTTGTTGACTGTGGCATCTCTATTAGCCAGTCCATATGAAAAAGCAACGATTAGTTCTTTGATCTTCTCCGGGCTATTAACACCAACAGTATATGCATTGCTTAATCATCCATATCCTCATTAAACTAAGCCTCTAGTACTGACCTAAGTAAATCAGGCCTGATAATATAATCATTATACAATCATATTCCTTGTCGGCATCATGATATCTTATTCCTGCTTATAACTAGCTATAGATCAAATCAGATTTGTTCTGTAGTGGCTTCTATTGTCAGTCTTGTCAATTGCTCAATCCAGTAATTTATACCCTGAGCATTATTTTTGATCCTTTGACCTGTCAGTCATTTCTCTATGTCCACATCATTTATTAAGAAATCATCCTGTCTGTACATGGAATCTGGTGTTCAGATTATCAAACCCACGATGCCCTAGGTATGAGAGTGTGCTACAGTCAGCACAAGATAAGAACAGGCAGGCTACCACAGTGCTGTACTGTACTGCCATTAGTGTATCACTCCTCTACTCTTACCACTAAGAAATTCAAGGAGGATTGGTTGCTAATATGATGGTCAATTTGTGAGCAGGTTGCAATTTTGACTGTCGGTAGTTGGACCATGGCACGGTTTAGTGGGGGCCACGCAGCGGGGAGCCGTATGATAGGTGGGTCCAAGCGGCCATGACCGGATGGCCCCCATCGATCCATGCTCAGGGTGGTGGGCACTTGGTACAATCCATGCAGGTAACCCGCTCCTTGGGCATTATGTGCCTCCACTTCTCATTTACAACTCCGTCCGAGGCCGGCCGGGTCGGTCTCGCTGATGTCCCCGTCCGCGCACATGGAGTGATGTTGGAGATTGTTCCTCTAGGTTTAGTAAACACAGGTTTACTAGCTTTATGCTGCTCTCCCTTTCTTCTCCTCTGGAACTCAACAGGTATACACTTCTATGCTTCGGTGAGACAACGGCAATTGATGCTTTGCACGCATGTATGTCTCCTACACTTCGGTGATTCAATGCATGTGTGCGTGTCCTATTCTTTTCTCTTCCTGTAAAGCTTATTAATTTTCAGATGTGTCACACGAAAAGCATCTAGTTGATGATTTGATAGGATTATTACCACTAGTTGAATGTCCCGAAAGGGGTGAGCATTTTTGGTTTCGGAGGGAGATGTGTGCCTGCAACGTCAATTTTTGGTCGAGCAAGGCAACAATCCCCCTGTATATATGCTCAAAACCCAGGGACCATGCATGCATGTCTGTTTCCTGTCCAAATATAACAAGCTCACAGGAATAATAGTCTTACAGAAAGTCAGAAATAAACGGACACCCCACCTTATTATTTGTCCATGTCTGGATCCTATCGATCTGACTATAGGTGTGTGTGCAAGGCGCGAGCGCGCGCTGCAGTTTCTTCCACATCTGCCAGATATATACCGGCATAAACAAAAGGGGCGATGGGCCGCCTGACCGATCGGGTTATTAATTAGGTGACTGTTCTCCCTATTATGAGATCGATCTGGTCGTCATCGCATCCCACCACTGCTGCGTCTGCAGTCTTTGCGCGTGTGCAATCGCCTTCATGTGCATAGTACGCGTACCCCCTCCTCCCTTCTCACGTTACTGTTTCCGCGACGCCAGCCGCCCGGTCGATCCATCGATTCATCCTGTCATGCGCGCGGTCACGCGCCAATTACGCGGAGAGAATGTTGTCGCGCTCGCCGTCCCATGCACACGCTCGATCGGTCTCACGCGCCGGCCTGGTATCTATCTGGAGTCATCGATCGGGCATGCAGTTTGCGGAGGGCCTTCTGATCGGTGGATCGCCGTGCGCTGCGCGCGCGGCATGTGGGGACGCGCGACGACGACGCGAGGCGCGCGGGGACGACCACACCAACAGGCCGGCGACAGCAAGCTGCTACGTACGCCGCGGCCGCGCGCGCGCGTATCGCGTCGTACCGTACGTGCAGAAATCCCGGGGGGGAGCGAGGGGGGCGCGAGATCTTCGATCGATCCGTTCCTTCCTCCCCTCGCGCGCGCGGCAGCGGCCGTGACCGCGAGCTAAGCGAAACTGATCTGACACACGCGCGGTCGCTCGCTTCCGCCGCGCCTGCCATGCCGGCCGCCTGCCGTGCTCAGCCATGATTCCACGATAATTAATCTCGTGTTCAGCGTGAGTTCGAGGCAGGAGGAGCAGCTACCGACTTTAATTAATTGGAGAGAAAGTACTAGTACCAGTACCACCACCGATTTTTGGGACGCAGCTCATTCCATCTAAGCTATAGCTACCTAGCTACACGAGGGCTATTAACTGATTCCAAACAGCTCGTTCTCTGTACACGAGCGAAGGAGGTAGTAGTAGTGGGAGTACACTGATCAGCAGCACCAGCTAACGGGTAGTATGGGTGCTTAATTAATCTCGCGCGTACAGCTACAGCTAACGGCTTCGATTTTGTCGTGCCTGCCGCGTAAGTATATTTCAGCGGCTGGTGGGTAATTTGGTGTTTAAGCCAGGCCCGGCGTACTTGGCGTTTGGGAGAACATGCTGCATATCTCACCTATATATCGCAGGTAGATGCCATGGAGGTTCGCACGGAATCATGGAGTACATAAAAAACAAATACTATCTCCGTTCTTTAATCTAATGCTGTTGACTTTTTATCGATGTTTGACTATTCGTCTTTTCTCAATATAAAAATATTTAAATCTTGCTTAAAAATATTTGATAATAAATCAAATCACAATAAAAATAAATAATAATTATATTTTTTTTAAATAAAATGAATAATTAAACATATATCAGAGAGTTAATGACCGACCTACATTAAAAAAACGGAGGGAGGGAGTAGTATGTGTGTACGGGTATTGCATAAAGGCTAAATATAGTTTATTAAAATGTCAAACGCATGGAGCTGTACTGCTAGGTTTCATCAAAGAGGGACAGATAGAAGTGAACAGCTTTGGTCGATCGTGGGGGGCTTCAAAACCACAAGAGAGATTATTGCGCTGTAGTGTACTGTATGATATATACTCCATATATAGACTGAACCAACATTTATTAGGTAGCTAGGGAGATAATCAGTTTCAAACGTCTCGGTAGATCTTGTTTTTCATAAAGATGTTGACAACATCCTTCTTAAAATTCACACACTGTTAGTACAGGTAGTTAGCATGAACGCTACATGACTATAATAAGATCAAGCTCTGCATGGATTGTATAGCACTTGGTCACCAACAAATGAACAAGAAAAGCATATATGCATATATAGCCTGAAAAGGGAATGATACCACCACACACCTATAACATTCCCTTCCCTTCCCTTCCTTCCCACGCACAGCATATATCCATCCATCCTAATCAAGTGTCATTTTCTCCCACAGCTATCTGTCCCCAAACACATCTAATTAAAAGAGTACTATGTGTGAGAGAGAAGGGATTGATAGAGAGAAAAGAAGAGAGAAGGGGCAACCCCCAAAAAAAAAAGAAAGTTGGAAAAGAAAGTAAAAGGAGGTGCATGGTGTGGAAGAAAAGACCAATCTATATCTTCCATCCTAGGCCACCTCCAAGCAACAAGTTACACCCCCTCTTTTTCACACAAACACACTGCGCATACAAACACACACTCCTGTCCTTTCCATTCCATCTCTCTCTCTCTCTCTCTCTCTCTCTCTCTCTCTCTCTCAGCTCGTCTCCTACCTTTCATCCCCCTCTCTCCTCCATCTTCCAAGCAAGAACTCCTCTCTCTTCTCTTCTCTTCTTTTTCCTCATCAATCTCAATTCCCAACAAGATCAAGAGCAAGTACTTGTTCAGCCAGCTGCGCATAAATATATATTTTTTGTGACCTCTCTCAAGAAGTGGAGTTCTTGAGTCATCGCAAGGACAAGAAGAGATCATCAATGGAGCTGTTCCCGGCACACCCTGACCTGCAGCTCCAGATCAGCCCTCCTCCTGCCACCAAGTCAATGGACTTAGGGTTTTGGAAACGAGCTCTTGAAACCTCCACGACCACCACCACGGCGGCGGCGGCGGCAAGTACAGGTCCTTCCGTCGCTACTTCCTCCTCGCCGCCGGTAGCGAGTGGCGGGGTTGGCGGCGGTGCCGGCGGCTTCTACCAGCAGGCGGCCGTCGCGCCTGCAGCTAACGGCCACGGCCATGGCCATGGCCATCACCACCACCACCACCAACATCACCAGCTCGGCGGCGCACTCCAGTTCTTGCACCGCACCCAGCCCATCCCGCCGCAGGACGCGGCCGCCGGCGGCGGCCTGCAGGACCTGGCGTTCGCGCGGCCCATCCGGGGAATCCCCGTGTACAACACCTCGCGGCCGCTGCCCTTCCTCCAGAGCCACCACCTCCAGCACCACCAGCATTGCTACGCCGACACGATCGGCGTCGCGCCGGGGGCCGGGCCGAGGTCCCCCAGCAAGCAGGCGGCGGCGCTGCGGCTCGCCGCGGCGCCCGCCAAGCGTGGCGCCCGCGCGCCGCGGATGCGGTGGACGACGTCGCTGCACGCGCGGTTCGTCCATGCCGTCGAGCTTCTCGGAGGCCACGAGAGTACGCAAACCTGCTTGCTGTTTTTTTTTCTTTTTTTTGCATCTTCCAAACTTCTTCATGTTAGCTAAACAAGAATTGAACCACATATGCTACGCAGTGTTCCTGAATTTTTTTTCACTAATTTTCTCCAATTTTGGTTTTGCAGGAGCTACACCCAAGTCAGTTCTTGAGCTAATGGACGTGAAGGACCTGACCTTAGCTCATGTCAAGTCTCACTTGCAGGTGAGTATATCATCTAATCCTTCAAGACCGGTTAATTGGTTAATCTGATATATATCCGGCTGAATTAAGCTTTCTATCCCTCTCTCAGAAATTAAACCATTCGAGTACTTCCTTTTCTAATAAAGAGTCGTACCAGCGTAGATGTACATCTACTCCTAATTAACAATTTATATCCACACCAAGGAGTACTGTACAAAATACAAATACGTGCCTGGTATATATATGGAAGACATTCATATTATACACTATTCCTTTCCTTTATCTGAGGACAAAAAGTTAATTACGTTCGATCCTTTCTCACACACAGTAGCTCATGCATGGAATAGTCATTTCTCAGTTCACTTGCCGGCTGGGCAGTAAAAACATCTCTCTCTCTACAAGTTTCACTCCCCACATGCATGTCCTTGGCTAGATAGATAGAGAGAGAGAGAGAGAAGAGAGAAAAGAGGTGTAAGCTTAGCTTTTGCAACACGGGGGGAGCAGCTTTTCAATAAAAACTCCGAGATGAGCAGTTGGGGCACAAAGCTATAGCAGCAGCACATATGCAAACGCAGCGTCAGTGCAGCGTGTTGTTTGGCCATTAAAAGCTAGCCGCGGCCCGGAGACGAGACGACATGCATGCACGCACCGCGCGGAGGATGGATGGATAGATGCGTTTCTCTCGCTCGCTCGATCGATCGATCGATCTCGCACGCACGAAGAGGGGATCGAAAGGGCATTGATATGCATGCTGCCCAAGAGCAGATCATGGGCAAGTACAACCACGGCATCATTTCTCAATAATTAAGCTTCAACACACACACACCCCGGCCTCTGCCTGCTTTGAGCTGCATGCTGCACGCTGCACAGTCGTAGTGGTAGCAGCAGTAGCAGCAGCTGCTGATCGAGCCATCAATGCCTCCGTTTGTGCTGTGTGCATGCAGGCGAAAAATTTATGGTCACTTCTCTCTCTCCTTGTACTACTCCTACCACTACTGCTCCTTTAGTTTTTGTTTTTTGTTTTTCTTTTCTTTTTTGAAGATTGTTACGGAATAGTAGTCCTTAGGAGTACTAATTTGACTTCATTTATACCAGCTCTCCATCCATGAAATGCATGTTATGCATTTGGAAAAAAGAAACGTATTATATTCCTCATATAAAAAAAATCCTATGTATTCCTGAAGAATATTGGTTACCCCAACTTCATGTAAGTACATATATATATATATATCAATGATATAGCTAATTCTCCTTGCAGATGTACCGGACCATCAAGACCACTGACCACAAACAACCTGCTCCACCATATGGTATGTGTGTATATATAACACTAATCACACACACAAAAAAAAAAGGGGAAGAAGCATCATACCGATCGATGGTGTATTTGATCAATACTGAAACGTTGCAAAAATATGTTGGATTTGTAGGGCAAACTAAGACTATCATAGAGATCCCAGACGACAATCTGTTTGACATCAACAACACTAGTGGGTCAGAGTCTTCTGTTCAGCAACAATCCAATTTTGACGGCAATGAACAAGGATCCAGCATGTGTGCTCTACGGAGCAACAACTCCTCAAGGTGACATACATGCAAACAGAAATTTTAAAGCCATTATTTCTTATAAAACTAATTGCTAAACTTTAGTAGTTCCTATGTTTGCTTCCTAATGCTACTCCTATATCATATGAGAGCCTGCTCCTATTCCATTTGATCTCATCACTCTGGTGACATTGGTCTTAATATCAAGCTCTAGTAGTAGTAGCTAGTGTACTGAACCTGAAGCTAGTGCTTCTTGGGCCCTAGTATTCGATGACAAACTAAATGTTCCTAATTAATGTAGCTATTACTGGAGTAGTTAACAGCAGCTAGCACTGTAGAAGTACTCCAAGCCAAAGGCGAATTAACACAGAAAGCAGCTATATATAGTCAGCTAGCTACTTATGTCTGGAGGTCAAGGCTGCTTCTGGTTACATGTAGCTAGAGACTGCTATATTATGTACATGTAGCCAAAAAGTACCACGCATAGATACACAGAAATTAAATACATGTACAGTACATTAGTACTCCTTTGGCGCTTTCACTAGCTATATATATTTGCCTTTGCATCTTTTTTTTCTTTAAAAAAAACAATGTTCAGAATTCATGTATCCATGAAAAAAAATTACTAGCAGTTTACTCACAGCGCAATATTTCCACTGTATATATATCTTGATTTGGTTGGTCTTTCATGCATGGGAGTCGTGCTGGCTAGCTTGGCATTACCTGCATCAAACGTTTGGTTGGACTTCAAACTAAATATTCCTCAAAATCAACTGTTACATTAAGAATACATTAAGAACCAGCTAATGCAAGGCTTCAGATATTCTTTTGGACTGATTAAACCAGTCGTATGCTCCTACTTTAGGCGAAACAATATATTCCTTTGTCTCATTTTCTTTGTGACTACTGCACTACCATATCATCAACCACCTCCGAGTGCTCACAAAAAGCACCAGGGCTCATACCTTTGTTCCATCTGCTCCCCATGATGGTGCAATCATCTCCCAAATTATAATATTAAGCTAGCTCCGAGATTGATTAGTATATATGCTAATTAAGCTATAGCAAAGGGGACATATTCCCCCCCCCCCCCCACTACAAGAGACAATAGAGTTCTCCACTAGCAGAATCTTGAGAAACTACATGAGAAACAGCATCCATATCTATAGCCTCTCCTGATTATATTTTTTGTTCTCTCTCTTTTTTTACATGATGTGCGATGGAATCTTTTAGACCGTGGAATATAATCTCAATAAGAAATGAAAAACCGTACCAAACTAAGAATGCACTCGGGCATGCATTCATATAGGCACACTATACATATAGCTAGATCAGTACTTGTGGTGTCTTGTGGACTGTGTGCTCAGTACTGTATGTGGTCAGTACATGAACCTTCCTGGCAGCTACATGTGTGAGCAATATATATGCACAGATATGAAGGCATTGTTCACCGTGCCAGATCACATGGGAGGAGCACGTAGTCTAAGCATGCATGCACAGCTTTTACCTTGGATTAGCCACCCTCTTATAAAGTTAGCTTGTCATTTACAGCATCTTATAACGGTGAAATTAAAGTAGGGTGTTAGCTTTGTTCCCTGCCTTTTGTTTTCTCTCATCTCTAGCAATGGACTCCCACTGAGATGAAAAAGAGATATACATAGATATATAGGCATTTGATTCTCTCAGTCCATGATACGCTTTTTCTCTCCAGGGTAATTTAATTAATTCATTCATTTCTCTCCTTGCTTAAGCAGTAGAGGGGCCTGGTTCCATGACAAATCAAGAGATGCTACCCATGGAGACATCAAATCCTTCGAGGTACCCACTTTGCAAGCCAAGTTTCATCATTGTCTCCAATACCTCTAGCTCACTAATGGCCATGATGCTACATGCTAGAGTTAGTGCAATGGCGATCATTCCTTTGTTTGATCACCCCTCTCGATTGATTCATTCTTTCTTTCATGCATCTTTCGACACAGCTTCCTTGCTGAGCTTTGATCAATGCATATTGTCGGCAGGCTCTAACTTTAGCTTATATGGGGGGCCATCATATCATCAGTTTCTGCACAGTTATCACATCTCATCATCGTCATCGCAATCTTTTATTCTTTTTATCCCTGCATGCACTCATCTAACCGAGATCGTACTACATTATATTGCAGGACGTGCAGTCACAGAGCCCTGAAGACGACGACGCCTCCGACCTGAATCGCCGCCGTTCCAAATACCGGAGACGACTGTCAGCGCCATGAAACCCAACCTCGACTTCACCTTGGGAAGAATGTAATTTAACCATCCATCGATCGTCGACGACATTTCGATCGATCGATCGATCGAGATCGCATCGGAGATTGGGTGAAGAGGGCTAGCTAGCTAGCTAGTACATACATGATACATCATGTGTCAAAACTAAGTAGGGCAGAATATGAGAATGAAGTGAAGATCAGATGCACAAACACACACACGCATGTGTGCCCCATTTGCACTACGAAGCTGAGGATCAGAGAGGAGATCGACCAAAGCTAGCTAGAGAGAAGAAATTAAAGCAAACAAGATAACTGAGGCTGAGGAATAAGATAACACTGCAACCGTTGATCCAGGAACAAAGTGCAAAAGGGGGGGGGGGGGGGGGGGGGGTTATCGATCTAGGGACATGGGCTCGTGCGTGCGTGTGTGTGTATGTTCTTTGTGCGTGCGTGCATGGTAGATATAGAGAGAGATATATATACCGCTAGATCATAGGCTTTATCAAAGGCAGGGCAAGAGCAAGAAGATGGGTGCCTTGCTTGCCTGCCTGCTGCTTGCTTGCTTAAAGCTAGGGCACATATGCGCATTGCTTTGTTGCTTCTGGTTTACTACTACTACTACTAAAAACATGAAGAGAGCTAAGCTAGCTAGCTAGCTATATATATACACTGGTGGAGAAATGCTTTTTAGTCACGGTTCGCAACCCCCTGTAGTCCCGGTTTTCAAACCGGGACTACCAATCCGGGACTAAAGATCGCTATCTTTAGTCCCGGTTTAAATACCTGGGACTAAAAATAGATCTTTAGTCCCGGTTAGTAACACCAACCGGGACTAAAGAGAGGGGATCTTACCGGGACTAAAGAGAGGGTTGCGGCAGTGAGATGATCCCCTTTTTCTTTTTTTCCTTTTTTATTTTCTCCCAAATCACGTGGGATACATATCCCAAATCAAACCCCCAATCCATATATCGAAGTAACATCTCAAATCTACATCACAAATCAAATCAAAGTTACTTATACACACAAATAAATACATCACAATATCCTAAGAAATTACTCAAATACATCACAGATCCAAACAATGAATCACAAATTTGTAACTTCTCAGTCAAATACATCTTAGTAAATCATCACAAATTAAAAAAAAAAAAGAATGCCGCTGCCGCCGCCGGTCGCCACGAATGACGGGCGCGGCCCCACCGGCCGCCGGCCGCCGGGCGCGGCCCCGCTGCCCGCCACGCCCGCCGGCGCGCGCGGCGCCGCCGCCCGCCGCCCTCCGCCGAGCGCGACCCCACCGGGCGCCGCCCCGCCGCCCGCCGAATGGGAAGGGGAGGCCGGCCGGGAAGGGGAGGAGGAAGGGGAGAGAAGGGGGAGGAGAGGAGGAAGGGGAGGAGTTGGAGAAGAGAGTTAGAAAGGATAGATCTGAGGAGAGGGGATGAGATTCGATCTGTTAAGTTGTAACTGTGGAGAAGAGGATAAGGGATAGAGATTATATACTACGTGTTTAATTTTAGTCCCGGTTGGTACTATCAACCGGGACTAAAGATCAAGAGGTACTATCAACCGGGACTAAAAATCATCTTGATATTTAGTCCCGGTTGGTAGTACCAACCGTGATTAAAGTGGTGATCTTTAGTCTCGGTTGGTGTTACCAACCGGATCCTCGGCCCCCTGACATACATCTGACAGGGGATGAACCGGGAGTAAAGATCATCTTTAGTCCCGATTGGTGTTACCAACTGGGACTAAAGATCAAAATTTTTATAACCGGGACTATTGTGGATTTTGCCGGACCAATCAAAGATGGTTTCACTATCAGTTATATATATATATATATATATATATATATATATATATATATATATATATATATATATATATATATATATAGAGAGAGAGAGAGAGAGAGAGAGGACGAAATGGATATGATGCATGGTTTGTACGTTGTGTATGAGATGTATACCTAGCTGGGGGCCAAGCGTTAAGAGAAAGATTTCATCTTTTGTTATGCCAAAAAAAAAAGTGTAAAGAGAGCGCGTATATGTGTTGTGTATATGTGTGTGTGGACCATGCATGTATATGGAGTCTGATTGCTCTGCTCGGTCTGTCTCTTTAGCTAGAAATAGATTCCTAGCTTCACTGTAGTATTTACTATGCATGTCATATATAGGTACGAGTGTACGACCCTGATTGGATTTGTAGTTCATGAGCGACAAAAAAAGTGATGAATAAAGAAAAGGTCGAGAATATGGTTCGATCTCTTGAAAGTAACTAATTAATAAGTCATTCGTTTCGGATTGACTGAGCTCATTTAAGAAAATTTTAGTATATTGCAAGGTTTCCATTTGATTTGGTATGTATGGATATATGTCGCGAGATAAATCAAGCCAAATCTCTATGAGAAAGGGAAAGACGAATCGATATCGAATCATAACCGATCGTACCCCTCTATCTCTAGCTATATACTCCCTCCGTTTCGAAATGTTTGACACCGTTGACTTTTTAGTACATGTTTGACCATTCGTCTTATTCAAAAAATTTATGTAATTATTAATTCTTTTTCTATCATTTGATTCATTGTTAAATATATTTTTATGTAGGCATATAATTTTACATATTTCACAAAAGTTTTTGAATAAAACGAACGGTCAAACATGTACTAAAAAGTCAACGGTGTCAAATATTTTAAAACGGAGGGAGTATATGTCCATATATGACAGTACAAGGTAGTGACAGCGAGCGAATGTCGCCCTCCATCCTCTAGCTATCAGAATTTCAACTTGAGAATGCAAACATTTAGCCATGTCGAAATTGTGCCCACTTGCGCAAACTGACACCTGAGAATTTTCCAATACACGAATTGTAATGCTCTGGATTACGACGGTGAATCCCATACTACCCCCTTGAAATTATTTTTGTTGAAAATCTAGGCCAAAGTACGAACTTGATCTCGGGAACCATATAACTTTATAACTTTGGTCTTAGGCACCGAGTAAGATATGTCAGCGCGTTGTGAGTATATATGTTTATTAAAAAAAAAGCCTGAATGAGACCGAAGGAGTTCGATCACCAAGATCATCGGTACTACAGTAGTATATTTTTATGGTCCTCACTTGGTTAATTCCGATCCTCAACCCTGTCATACCAACCTCAACTCCAAAATTAACTGTTACTACTACATCAATCTGAATATATGATCGAATAGTAGTAATTTAGAGGTCCGTTCATTCATACTCCATCGTCCCAAAAAAGACAAATTATAAGAATGTACTTAGACACATGTTTGTCCAGGTTTATCTCTAAAAATTAGTTTTTTATGGGACGGATGGTGTAGGCCCGACAGTGAAATCAATTTACTACAGACGCCGGCCGGCCGATATACCAAGAACATGCATGTATATGAATGCATTACGGCTGTAACTTGCAACAGCAGATTTGTCAATTTGGGGAACAACCCTAGCTATGGATATGGCCGCCGTGCATGTGTACGCATGCATGCAATTGTCTGCGTCAATCACTCACTCACTCAGCCCCATGCACGCACAAAGAAGAGGTTGAAAAAAATAGGCCGTGTTTAGATTCTATTTTTTTTAAAAAAAAACTTCTAACTTTTCTGTTATATCAAATATTTAGACACATGTATGGAGCACTAAATGTAAACCAAAAAAAATAATTACACAGTATGTCCGACTGTAAATTGCAAGACGAATCTTTTGATCTTAATTATGTCATGATTTAACAATGTGATGCTACAGTAAACATTTGCTAATGATGGATTAGTTAGGCTTAATAAATCTGTCTCGCGGTTTACAGGTGGAATCTGTAATTTATTTTATTATTAGTCTACGTTTAATACTTCAAATGTGTGTCTGTATACTTAAAAAAATTTTGACACACGAACTAAACTTACAACCATAGTAAGAAGAAGGATTAAGAAGAGGACGAGGACATGGACCAGGAAGAAGAAGGAATTGAAGTCAAATCTTTTCAGGAATGACCGTGTGTGCGTCGGGTTGGGTGGACGGTAAGATCGACGACGTCCAGCATGTGATGGACGGACGATGTGAGGCCTGAGGTGACCTCTCTTGGAAAGCCTTGATCCAACAGCCATGCAAGCTGCTATAGCTAGTACTACTAGCGTTTACCTCTCTCCTCTCTAATCGATCCATCACTAGATCTGCCGATTTTTGTTTTGGGGCGTTTTCTGCCCCCGGGAATGCATGCATGCATGCATGCAATGCAGTGCAATGCATATGCATACGGAAGTGGCTCTGTGCATATCGTTTAAATATTTTTTAAAAAATTAAATTAAAAGAATATTAAGATAGATCAATATATGATATAAATCCTTCCACAAATATGTAAGTTGAAATTGACTTATACAATTTGAAACAAAAATACTTCCTCCGTTTACGTTTTATAATTTAAGTCATTTTAGCATTTCCCACGTTTATATTGATGCTAATGAATCTAGACATATATATCTATCTAGATTCACTAACATCAATATGAATATAGAAAATGCTAGAATAACTTATATTATAAAACGGATGAAAGTAACAAATTTGACCGCAAATTACATGTTATATTCATCTTCAAGTTAATTATTTTTGTTGTTGAATTTGAATATACATGCTTGTGGAGTGGCTTAAATATAACATATCGATATATTTTACTATTTTTTTTAAAAATGATGATATTTTAAGTGATATGCAGAAATAAGGGGACACCCCTTAATGTATGAATAGAGAGTTTGACATGCATATGCGTGGATATCCGAGCAAAAAGCTCATCTAGCTTGTACAGCTTTCCAAAAACTTCTGTGAGCCTGAACAGGCTACTGATCGACCTGACCCCTCTTGGATTGGATTGGTGCTCTTGGCTAGCTCCCCCTCACACCAATTTCCAGGGCTTGTTTGGATTTTACAGGAAAAGTGGCACAGCTAGCAACTCCTATCCCAAAATAAATTTCAAACATCTCTCAAGAAAAATTTAATATATAGAGAGAAAAGACCAAAGCGCCACACGTTAACAACAAAGTAATATTGATAGATGAGTATGTAAGTGTTATTAAAAGATAAACTTCTTGATTTGTGAAGCAAAGAGATACAAAGTGATCGAGGTAAAGAGAGAGATGGGAGAACTGACGTGTGGATGTGTGGCACTAGGGGTATTTCTAAAACTTCATAATTTTTTCTCTTATTTAATTGACAGTAAATGAATATTCTAATTGATGTGGTGTCTAGTACTCCATCTATTTCAGGTTATAAGACGTTTTGACTTTGGTTAAAGTCAAACTGCTTTAAGTTTGACCAAGTTTATAGAAAAAAACAGTAACATTTTCAACCCAAAATAAATTTATTATGAAAATATATTCAATTATTGATTTGATGACACTAATTTAGTATTACAAATATCACTAATTTATCTATAAACTTAGTTAAACTTGAAACAGTTTGACTTTGACTAAAGTCAAAAACGTCTTATAACCTAAAACGGAGAGAGTAACAAATAGCCACATTTTGAGATTTTCTTCTCCAAAAGATTTACTTTTGCCATAACCAGTAGCTAAAACCACCAGTTTGCGACGCCTACGGTAAAATTTGCCTAAAATTTATTGCTATAACATATAGGTCAAAAGCTGACATATCACTTGAGCTAATGAGAAGAGAGGGAAGACTTAGGTTGCATTTG